GAGTGTGGCATCGTGCCCTGAGGCAACGCCAGGAGGAGCAAAAATGAAGCTTTGCCCTTTTTTTTTTGTGGGCGTTTAGTGGTCTGTGTTTATGAGCTCCCATCACAGGGCCAGGCTCTGACCCGTGCCAATCAGGGTGGGACACTCTCCTCCCTTTCCTGTCTCCCACAGGTGTGGGCAGTGCCAACCCCACCATATGGGAAGGAACTAGAACACATTCTGTGCCTCCGCTTTCCTAATCTGAAAAGTCGTGTGTAACCCAGAGATCAGTTTTGGACCAAGGAGGTGCCAGACCAGTGACATTTATACAGTCAGACATGTCTCCTTGAAGATTGATATGTCCTGCAGAGAATGAACTGGCTCCAGTGCAGGGATGAAGCAGTCCCAACACACATCACCCGTGCTCTGAGATGCAGCGAGGGGATGTTGCCTGGGTGGCTGCAGCTGCCACTGGCACCAGTGTCTGCCCCCAGAAGCAGCCCAGGAGCACTTTCCCTGGGATGAGAAAGGATATGTACAAGATACATGAGCAGGAAGCACAGCTGTGGGACCGTGCTGCTAGACTGGAAAAGGAAAATCTGTTGTAAAACAGGTATCCAAGGCAAGAGTTTGCTTTTCCAGAGGCTGTGGGGAGCCTGAGGGTCTGGGATTGAGAGCAAAGAAGATGCCTGCAAGAGGAGGGGTGGTAACACCTGGAAAGCTTCAGGGATGCTTCCTCAGGGCAGATGGAGTCATCAGCTGGCGTGGCTGTGACTTGGAGAGGGAGCAAGCAGGGCCCTCAGGGGGATGGGGCACAGCTCGCACCCACAGACCTGCTGGGATGAGGTGATGATCCAGGGGGTTCCCAGCTTGTGCCTGGTCAAAAGCCCCATGGAGGTGGGCACAAGACCATAAAGGGTAACATGGGCACCAGTGATCCCAGTCCCACTGGACTGGGGGAGCTGGCTGAGAGCTGGGACCAGCTGCTGCCTGCTCTCAGCCAGTGCCCTCAGCAGCAATAACATGGAACGGTTTGGGTTGGAGGGGGCCTTAAAGACCATCCAGTTCCAACCCTGGTGACAGCACTGAGCTTTGCTGTGCAGCAGGTCCCTGCCTTTCCCATCCCTTCTCCTGGGAAGGGCTCACCCTGTGCAGCACGAGCTGCTCCTCATCCTCACACATCCCCTGGCACACACAGTAGGGCCCCCGACTCACTTTTACTGAACAGAAACCAGTTCTACAGCATCCACAGCTGCTCCTGCTGCATCTCTCAGCACCTTTGGGACTTTTCCTGAGTCTTCTGGTGTTTTGAAGCCGTCCCCAAGAGGCATTGGGTGACTCACTGCACGGATGTGTAAGCAGTGAAGGAAGAGCAGGTGCTGCCCGGCTGGGACTCCCACTGGGATGGCACGATGGAAACATGCCATGGGCACCCAGCAGGTCACAGGGGACCTGTGGGACTTGGGAATAGCCAGTTATATATCCATAGACCCTCAAGTGCTCTCATCTGGTATCTCACTCACAGCCCTTCAGTTGTTGCTCTTCATCTCCCTCCCCTGGATCTCGGGAAACCAGACCCAGCTCCAGCCCCAGCTACCTAGGGATGCTGAATGCAGGCTCTGAGATATGGGGGATTGGACCCAGACACAGCCGAGGCAAGTTCCCATAAATCTGGCAAGTTAAGGTTTAAAATAGTGTGTGTTCAGGGTGAGTCTGATCTGGGAAAGGAGCAGCACCATTTCTCCCAGGACACTTTCTCTCCATGCCACGATCATTTCTGACACCCACCAGACGAGGAGAAGCAGGTGGGCGAGGGATGGGGATGAGCTCAGACCTGTCAAGGGTATTCATGGAAGTGGGGTGTGCAAGCTCAGCTCCACTGGTCTCTGCCCATGGGGTGGCCTGACACCAGTGCCCTCCCCTATGACGGGTGTTTACAGAGCTGGACGGGATCCCTGGAGCCCTCGTGTCCATGTGCCAGCAGCTGCAGGACATCGGGGTTCCACGAGGTCGTGGTCAGACTCTTCCCCCAGCTGCATCCATGAGATGGGAACCTCCAGGAAAAAGCCATGAGCTGGGAACCTCCAGGAAAAATGTGCCAGTGGGAACGCTGCTGGCAGGTTTGGTGGTTGGTGGGAGCAGGAGGCGAGGTGGCCTCGTGCTCGGGGCAGCCGCTCCCGGCGGTGCTCGGGGTGCAGCGTCAGCCAGTTTTTGGCAGCTGTGAGCCCTGGCCCCGCGTTGCCCACAGTCCTGGCCCCAGGGAGGCAGGGAGAAGGTGGCATGCTCACATCTAAATACAACATGTTCCCCAAGCATGTTTGTTAACATAGTCACAAATAAACATTTTGCAAGATTTTTTGCCAGGAGGACGGGCTTAATGTGTGTGGAGCCTTGAGGGACAGGAGAAAGCTGGTGCAGCCTATCACCATGGGCACTGCTCTGGCCTCCCTAGCACTGCTGGGGTGAGGGAAGTTGATTCCTCTCTGGGCAGTGCATTACTTAAGTCCCTGTGTACCAATAGAGAAGCAAATCCCATTAATCCAGCCTGGATGGAAACAATGTTGTGGTGCTGGGGTAGAAGAGAAGGGCAAGAGGAAACCACCAGGAGTCCCTCCAGTTCTGCCTGTCCCCCCCACCAGCAGTTCTGCCCTCACTCTTCTCCCCTCAGCAGGGTCTGGCTCCAGGGTGAGCGAGTGGAAAAGGCAAAGTAATGTCCCAGGTCCTTGGGGGATTTCAGACTTTCAGGGACAGGATGAGCAGTCTCAGCCCTGGGAGAGCTGTGGAATCCCAGAGGGAAGCAGGGGCAGAGCTGAGCAGGGAGACACGGAGGAGGAAGAAGGATGCCCTGGGTAGTCAGGGATCTGCAGCCTGTGGTTTTCTATATGGACCTTATAGACCCCTAGTTCACCTTCTAACCCACAACTTGTTCATGCTTTTGCCCATCCCATTCTCTGCACCATGGCACTGGGGAGGAAGTAAGTGAGTGGCCAGGCAGGGGGTCAGCAGCCTGGCAGAGGCCAGACCAGCACATTTCCCAATTCCCACATTTTCCCAGTCCCACGTTTCACACTCCCTCATTCCTGGACGGTCAGGCTGGATGGGGCTCTGAGCAACCTGGCCTAGTGGAAGGTGTCTCTGTTTGAACTAGATGGTCTTTACAGTCCCTTCCGACCCAAACCCTTCCATGATCCTATGGTTTTCCCAGTGCCTGCAGCTGCAGCTCCCTCTCGGTGCCCCAATGTGCTCCATTTGGTCCCAGTAAGCTGTGACCCCTGGGCTGCAGTGCCCAGAGGGAGGGATGTAGAGGGCATTGGGATAACTGAGAAGGCTGAGGGCTGGAAGGAGGGCTGGCCACGTCCTGCTTTGCACAGGCTGGCAGCAGTGTGCTCCCACATGCGATCACACAGTCCCCTCTAGTGGATATTCCTACTCCATCGACATGAATGTCCTGCCCACACTGTGTGGGCACCACAGGGCTCCAAGCATTGAACCCCAGCAGTGGCCCTGGGGTACCGTTCCACTCCTCTCCCAAATTTGGGCATGGTGGCAGGATCAAAGCTCCATCCAGCTGCCGCCAGCTGAGCCATCACTGCCTTCACTCCTTCCTCTCCTGCGTATTTGGGTGACTCATCCTCCCTCTGTCCCCTGCCCTGGCTTTGTCCCACACCACCCGCTGCCCTTGCGTCAGGGCTGGCCCCAGCTGGCCCCTGCATTCCTCACTCTCCCCCTCCACTGGGATTTCACACCACTCAGAGTTATTTGGGCATCAGCCAACGTGAGGAAGAGCTCATGAACACCCGTGTGGCAACTGCTTCCAAGGGATCCAGGCGTGAGCATCACTTGCTTCTGCCCTGCCAGATCCTCCAAGCTTAGTCCAGCTTGCACTGGGACAAAGTGGGATGCTCTCAGGGTGAATGCCCTAAGGGAGGGGCATGCTTGCACCTTTGTCCAGCAGCTCCTGCCCATGGGAAGGGTGGGAAGGGTCACACTGGCACCGGCCTGGAGCGATGCCCTGTGCTCAGGGTCAGGTCACCACCACCTCACTCCCCCTCCTCTCCAGCTCTGCCTGCCTTGGAAACTGTGCTTGTCACCTGGAAGATATGTGATATCTGCAACCTGAGGCTTTTCAAGGGACAAAAAGGCACTCAGGAGAGAAGGGAGGAATGGACGCATCTGCAGATCAGAGGTTCATGATGCTCCATCATGCCATGGTCCTCCCCTTTGCTCTTACTGGGAAACAGGTAGTCCTGGTCCCAGTGCCACCAGCCAGCAGTCTCAGTTCAGAGCAGAGCATCCCTTCCACCAGCTGGAGGATGGCTACATCTCAGGTGTGATAGTGCCTCGAGGGCTCTCTCTGCACAGCCAGATCCATGGAAGGAATGGTACTGTGCCCATATCCCCCTGCAGGGACTCTTCCAGCAGGGAACCACGCAACCATCCCATTGCATCAGCTGCAAGAAACAGCCCAGCTGAGCCAGTGCAAGGAGCCTGGGCAGCACCCACCAGCTCCCCCAGCCCTTCCAGCCACCCCTCTCCACAGATCCAGGAACTGGCAGGGGAAACAGGTCACAGGTGCTGGTCACACACAGGGATCAGGGATCCTTGTGTCACGGACCCATGGTGGGCAAGGGAAGCCCACAGACACCTCACAGCCTTTGTGTGTGGATGTGGAGCAGCCAGCAGTGATCAACAAGGTACAAAACCCCAGGGAGAGCCAGCCTGTGACAGCCCCAGCCCCTTTTATAGCTTCTGATCTGTGGCCCAACAGAAGACACACTTCATGGCTTTATTTATTATAAAATATCTTAAGGAAGATGATCTCTACCCAAAACCACCCCTCAGCTTCATTTCTGCCCACAGGGACTGTGTCTAATGGGGCGCTGGCACTGCCAGGGCAGCAGGGCCAGTTCCAGGTTTTTTGGACAAGGGGGACATTCCCAAGCCCAGAGTGACCCCTACATTCCCATACAGATCCACGGCTTGGGAACTGCAAACCCAAACTCCATTTCTAGGCAGTTGGATGACAATCAACCCCAGTGTTTATTGCAACGCTCCTCATTTGCCCCAGGTCTATAGATGTACATTCAAAAATAAAAGCTCTGTGTATCCCACCTGGACACATTCAGGCTTGAACATTGAACAGGCCGATCCATCGGCAGTGGAGAGTCACCTCCCCGTCCCGAGTGTGGTGGGAGCAAACAGGCCAGTTACCTGCTCAGGATCTCTGTGCATCGAGTCAGAGCCTCAAGCACGAAAAACTCCAGCTCTCCTTTCAAGTATGTTTGGTGTGAACCCGTGTGGTGTCTCTGGCATCATATCCCAGCAGAGGGAAAAGACCCGCTGGCCCTGGAGAGCCACGTCCCTTGGGTCTGCCCCAGTCTTGGGGGAAGATGACAGGTTTGAGCAGCTGCTGTACCGATGTGCCAGCTTGTTTTGGCTCGAGGATGGGCAGTGAGAAGGCTCTGGAGAGCTTGGGCAGTTCATGTTTATATGGTACCATTTGGGAAAAAACCAGCTTGGATCCCATGAAGCCACCCCGGCATCACAGAGGGCCCGACAGCCAGTGGGGGTCTGGTGGAGCTGAGGGGTTTGTGATGCTCAGCAGCTGTGGGGTCTGCCCATGGTGCTCCTACCTTGTCCCAGCTCCCAGCCTGCAAACCCTGCATCCAAGGCAGCTCTTGGCCAGGGGGCTGCATTTCAGGTGGCTGCATACCCCAAGTGTACCTCCCCAAAGCAAACCCACCACCCAGAGAGCACACAGTGGTTTAAATAGGAAAAAGTAAAAAATAAAAAAGAAAAAAAGAAAGAAAGAAAGAAAGAAAGAAAGAAAGATGCTTGTGGTATCTAACTCCAATTACCTTGGGCCAACCACGTCAACTTTGTACACTCCCCCCACCCAAAGAACTGTTTCAGAAAGACTCAAGTCAACGCAGGCTCTGTCCCTGTCACTGCAGCAGCCAGGGAAGGCACAGCTTCCAAAGCACCAACTCCAGAACCCCTGCAGGTCCCAGACAGGGAGGTCTGGCTGCCACTGCTGAATTAGGTTCTTTGTTGGTTATGTAGCTTTAAGCTCGTGTATTTTTGGGGAGAGCCAAAAAGAGAGGGGAGAGCCAAGCCAAGGGCTTTTACTCCTGCAGCCAGCAAGTCCTTGGGCCAGGAGCACAAGCTGCTGGGATGTCCTTTCTCTTGGGGCTGGGCAGAGGAGCACCAGCAGTGGCTGCTTTCTGGTGCCAGACAGGTCGCTGCAGTTCAAGGCCAGACTGGTGTGGGCTCAGAGAGGCAGGAACGAGCTGGACAGGGAAGGAAGGGGATGTGGGCACAGCTATGCCAAAAGCATCCCTCTTGGAGCTATCCCTTGGTCCAAACACTGCCTTTTTGGTGCTCACCTGCAGCTTCCAAGCAGCACTGGCTGTTCCCAGAGCTCAGCAGGCTCAGCACAGTCACCTGGCAGTGGTGGCTGGCACGTGCTCTGACCCCAGACATACAGTGGTGGAGCTGCAGAACAAACTGACCCTGTGACACAGCCTGGTGGGCACCACTGATGGGTTCCTGTGCTGGTTTTGGCTGGCACAGTTAAATTTCTTCACAGTGGCTGCTATGGGGCTGTTTTCTGTGAAGACAATTAACTCTACCCCAGCTGAAACCAGCTCCCCAGCCTTTAACAGCAACATCCACCCAAACATCTTCCCTTGCAGCATGTGAGAACTGCGAACAGCATCCATGGAAGTGGTTGTGACAATCCTCCACCAACACAACCCCAAAGCTGTCCTCTGGACACCCATGGGGCCTCTGCTTCACCCACTTCTCAGCTATGCTCTAGCTCCTCCACCAGCCCTGTAGGAAACACCCCCCGAGGCAGCCCCTGATGATGAAACCCTGTGAGGACAAAACAAACCAGCCGCGTAATCCCTGACCGTAACACAGAGGGGAAGGTAAAGAGCTGGTCTGTGCCCTGCAGCGCACCAGACAAGGGCAGTGACACGCTGAGGGGGACCTTGTCCATCAGAAGTACCAGGCTGGCCTCGTGGGGGTGCAGATGCAGCACAGAGGCCCCAGGAGCCAGTGGGAAATGCCCCCCAGCCAGGCTGGCAGGTCCACAGGGCCAATCCTGCTGCTGGTCTCTCGTGGCACAGCTGGGCTGGGATCTGTTTTCCAGGTCCAGGTGGCTGTGGCACTCCAGCTCACCCTCCTCTTCCTTTCTGCGGCAGGGACAGCGTCTGTCTGTCTGTCCATCCGTGGTTTTGGCCTTCAGCAGGACTCCACAGGGACACGAGGGGGTGGCTGCAGCCCCAGGTGGCCGTGGGAGGCCCGTGTTTAGGTGGCCTGGCCGGGTGGGAGGCGTTTGCTGTCCAGAATGGCCTTCCAGTCGTCGGACCAGGAGTGCAGGCGGCGGCTGGGGGGCTTCAGCTGCAGGTGCTTGTTGTGGCAGGCAGTGAAGAGCACGTGCTCCCACGTGGGGTTCAGCTCAGCCCCTGCAAAGCAGAGAGAGGTCAGTGCTCTGGACAACTCTGGGGTTGACTTTGCTCCAACATGAAGAGCCTGAAGATACAAAACCCTGATAAGAGCCTAATCAAACATGGAAGGACCAACACCCATCACTGGCTGCATCCAGGCACTCCCTCAGCCCTCACCTCTTACCTGTTATATCAGGTCTGTCATCTATAAGCAGGTCAGCAGAAACCACCGTCTTATCCCGTGTCAGAACGATCTGCTCAAGAAACTCAGGGCCAAAGTGCTTCTCCACCCAGGCATACTGGAAGGCAAGAGGCAGGAGGTGAGCTCAGGGAGGCTGATGGATGGGGCAGGGGCTGCTTGGTGGAGTGGAAGCAGCCCTGGCCCCTACACAGGGATGATACCTCTCTTAAGTAGTTCATTAGTGGGATAGATTTGGATGCTGCTGGAGAACAAGCTCTTTTAAAGCCAAGCAGCTTTTGATGTTGTGTTGAAATCCTAAGACCAAGAACCTCAGTGCAAATGGCAGGGCCCGGCTGATGGCAGAGCTGCTGCTCTGTGAAGATGCTTAGGGACAAAACTGATGGGACAGGGAAATATTGTTGCCATTTTACAGCTGGAGGCCTTCAGGGGTCAGCTGGCTTTGCTGGGCAGCCTGGACAGGAGGGGGAGCTGAGATTTGGACCTGCTCACCTTCTCGTAAGGGCAGTAGCGGTACTTCTTGATGGGGCTTGTGCAGATGAACACGTCAGTGCTGCCACGAGGAGAAAAACAGGGGCAGAGTGTCACTCTGTGCCAGAGCAGGCAGGACCCCAAAGGTGACCCCCCCACCACACACAGATCAAACCAGGGTGATTTAATCCCAATCTCGCAGGATCCCACCCACACCCACAGCACCAGAGCAGAGCTGAAGGGAAGGGGCTGATGTTCTTGGTGAGTGCTCCAGTCAAAGCCATCTCTCTCCTCCCATGCCTGGGGGCTGGGAGTAATTTATTTTTAATGTTGATGTTGCATCAGCTCTTCTGCCAGGAGGTGCATGATCCTGCAAAGCCCCAGCTGCTCTCCCGTCCACCCCCACACCATGGGGCAGGTTCTTACTCACTCTGCCAAATTTGCCATTTCCTTCACAGCTTCCACAGCCCCAGGGAGCGGGTCCAGCTCGATGAAGAAGTTCTTGGATTCCCAGATGCTGATGGCTTTCTCCTGTGGGGGGAAAGAGAGCAGTTACTGCACAGGGCCTCTTGCTACTCTTCTTGCATGTAAGTCTTCCTCACCTTTTGCTAGGATAGAGAAGGGTGACAGTGAGAAAGGTGGGAGCACCAGCTCCAGTCCCCTCCTGCTAACCCCTCTTGCCTCTGTGGGTGCCTCTGCTCCCCACCTGCCAATCTGCACCCATTCCCTACAGTTTAGACTGGAGATGCTCTGCAGCAGACTTGGGTTTGCCTCTGCAGCCCCAGACAGAGAGGGAGCAGCACGTTCCTTCAGGGGCAAAACACGAGAGATTATCCAGATCTGACCCAAACCCTGGGTGTGGGACCAGAGGGATGGACCCACGAGGGTCCAACTGAGGTGGCCTGGTAGCCCTGCTGTAATGTGATGCTGTTCAGGCACAGATGCTGTCTGGCCTATTTGTCTCCATGAGATCACTTAAAATAGCAGCCGGGCTGCTCTCCCAGGAGCAAGCATATTACAGCATGAACCACATGTCAGGATGAATGCAGATGCTCTTCCTCAGGGATGCCTGGGCAAGGTCTGCCAAGCAAATAGAGCATCTCCAGGCAAGGATTTGAAACACTTAACATCCAGGTCAGCAGCCAGGATGCAATGGTATAGCACAGGGACAACAGAGATGAGACCACAGGGAGCAAAACCTTGGGATGAGGGCAGAGTCCAGGGGCTGCCTGCTACAGATCCAGCACAGCCCTAAAGAAAAGCATCCCCTGCACTGCCTCAAACAGGCAACAGCTTGTCAGGCGCCCAGGAAAGCAATTATTTTGCACAAACATCAGGTCCTTGGGGAGGAGAGCTGGGAAGAAGCAGAAGCAGCCCTGTCCCGGCGCTGTGATGCAGCTGAGGAGCTGCAGATGCAGCTGGGAGAAGTTTTGAAGGGAGCTCTGCCCTGAAGGATTGATTTTCATTTTGAACACTTCTGTTTCTAAATTTGAGGGAGGGGAATAGGGACAGAGGCAACTTCAAGCCCATCCCAGTCTTCTTGTAATCTGGCACTTGGCAGTTCCCTCCTGCCTGATGAGAGGGACTCTAGTGAGTAACCACCATATTTTGCCTTTACTACACCTGTACTGGGGGAATAAAGCAGGCAACCGTGAGCAACTGGGGCTTTACTGGGAATTCCAAAGCTCAGGGCAGCAACACCCCAGAGCAAATACAGGATCACTTAAGGAGTCCCATCCTGCTCTATCCTGTGCCAGGACACTGGCTGCACACCTCGCTTCCTCTCAGGAAGGTAAATGCATCAACCCATCACATTTTTGGGCACTGAGCTTTTAACATGACATGCCAGAATCAAACCCTGTATTTCTCAAAAAATCCCAAGTAACATAAGAAGAATAGGCACCCAATTTAAAAAGGAGAGACTGTTGCATCCTTTCCTTTAGCCCAAGCAGCAGAAAATGTTGGTGGATCAGAGGAGGGAATAAAAGCCTTCTTCATGCCTGTCCACAATAAAACACACTGATTTGTGCAGAGACCCAGCAGAAATGCCTCCTGGCTCCATGGCAAGGATAGCTGCCCTAAAAGTTTGCCATGGGGTCAGGCAAATATTCAAACTAGAGTTGCTCTACTTCAGACTGATGAGCAGTAATGTTCTATTTTTAAGATACTGACTGTAGTTGCACAAGAGACACCTGAAAAACACAGCCTGATGCAGCAGAGCACTTCAATCTGCACAGAAGTGTTTTCTTTCAGCAAGGACTTCCGCAGTTATCCCGCTTCCAATTATGTCAAAAAGCATTTTGCAATCAAGCTTGAGGAGGGAAGAACTCATCTCATCTGGAGGAAAAGACCCACTCAGCTCCCAGAGCCAGAATAACTCCCTGTGGCACCACAACCATCATGCTGCCCAGCAGATGGAAAAATCTCCAGGGCTGGGAATCCCACCAAGTGCCAGAAGGACAAACCCTCAAACTCCTTCTTCTTATGTCTCCCCATGAGGAATTTCCCTGCCTGTCCAGGGTTTCCCATCCTTCCAGGTCTGTGTGCTCAGTGCATTGCTGAGCTGTTCTCTCTTTCAGAGTTGGGACCTGCAGCTCGTTGGACTCTTCAGCTTCTATCTTCTGGTCCCCTACAGCAGGTCAATGGTTCTCTCTGAGGAGGGGGCCTGGAATGGCCCATGTGCCCACATCCACAAAGCAGCTCCTGCTGTCTTTATCCCTGCTCTGAAACCATGGGTGAAACCAGGACTGCTCTGAGGTCGATCTGTGGAAATTTTGCTGCTTGTTCAGCCCAAGGTTTTGGTGGTTTTACATGATCACAGCAGACACAAGATGAGCTCACTTCATTTAACACATCCAACGTAGTTAAGATCAAGGAAGAAAAATTCATTATCATGCATTACCCCTGCCAAACTTTTAACATCTGCTTTACCGCATGAATTACGTCCTCCATTTCCCTTTCATCAATCCCACCCAGAGAGGACACGTTATTCCCTTTAGCTCATCAAGATGTTTAGGACTTTACCCCTGGGAGAGTCCCAGACCTTATTCCTGCTCCTTTCCTTGTAGCCATCATCCCACTACAAACAGGAGCGCTTTTATTTGCCATAACACCTTTCAACCACTGCAACTGCAATCCCTGGATGAGATGGAAACTTGAAGAGGCAGAAACCAACTCTCTGCTATGGTCAGCCCATTGTTAAATGATAAAGTACAACATAAAGAGAGCTTCTGCTTTTAGGCTTCAATCATTAAAATGCATACAGTAATTTTCAGGCATGGGAGGGTCTGGGGTTGTTCGAATTTTAAGTAAGCCCTTGCATGAAGCATCAATTGCATGGTTTGCTCTCAACTTTTGTGCTGCATCCCACCCCTCACATTGCTGTTGAGGAGCTAAATAATCCATCTAGGAACAGTATCAATCCACGTGTCTAAATCAAAGCTAGAAAAAGCCAGCTATGCAATTTGAGGTATTTTAAGACAGGTGTTCTGAAATATCTCCTTTCCTTGCATGTATCTCCATCCATCCACGAATGCAGGGAAAAAGCCCACTAGACCTTGAGGAACCTGGCCTAGGGGAAGGTATCTCTGCCCATGGCCCAGGGTTGGAACAAGATGAGCTTTAAGGTCCCTTCTAACCCAAACCATCCCATGATTCTATGAAAGAGATACTGGATTTCTGGGTTAAAAAAAAAAAAAGGCAACACTGGAAGCTCTCCTGCGTGCAGACCTGTACCTGTGCTTTGGTGGGAACTCTGGCCAGCACCCACAGCCTTCCCCACACTGCACCCACAACCTGGGGCTCAGGGGGTCCCACAGGGCCGAGCTCCAGCCCCAAGCAGAGCCCGCGCAGACCGGGGGATGCACAACTCACACTCAGCTCAGGTCCCAGGCGCCCGTACTGCTCCGACACCCAGAAGCCCCTCCGGTCCTCCAGGGCAATGTAGGGCTTGTCAGGGTACCTGGCCCTGAACTTCTTGAGGAAGCCTCCCTCAAAGTCGGCCAGCACCCCGTCCATGTCCACCAGCACCCGCAGGGCCCTGCAGGACCCCCCGAGCGGGCCGAGCCCCCTGCCCAGCCCTGCCAAGGGGCCACAGCGCCGGGGCCGCAGGTGCAAGAAGCAGCTCAGCAAAATCATGGTGGAGGGGGCTTGGGGAAGGGGATGGGGGGCTTGGGGAAGAGGGACTTAAGGAAGGGGATGAGGGGCTTCAGGAAGGAGATGGGGTGCTTGGGGAAGAGGGACTTGGGGAAGGGGATGAGGGGCTCAGGGTAGGGGATGGGGGTGTCAGGGAAGAGGATGGGAGGCTGGGGGCAGGAGATGAGGGGCTTGGAGCAGAGGATGGGAGGCTCAGGAAAGGGAACAGATGCTCAGGGATGGAGGGCTCAGGACAGAAGACAGGGATCAGGGCAGGGAATGGGGTGCTTGGGGAAGGGGATAAGGGTCTCAGGGCAGGGGATGAGGGGGCTTGAGGAAGGAGATGGGTGGCTGTCCAGCTAAAAGGGGGGGGGGGCCTTTATTTCAAGCAGGCACCGCGCCAGCAGCCAGCCGCGGCAAGCACATCCCTCTGCAGCAGAAGCAAGGAGCGGAGGGGGGGATGCGAGGGGGAGCAGCAGAGGGGCTGCAGCGGGGTGCGGGGGGGATGCAAAGGCCCGTCCTGGCGCCCGGCGCGTCCTCCCCCTCCCCGCCCCATCCCTCCCTGGCAGCGAGCGCGGAGCGGGCGGCGGGGGGGGAACCGGTGCCGGTGCCCGGCGGTGCCCGGCGCTCAGCTCGCCCCGACCCGGCAGTGCAAAGCCCAGTTCCTCTTCCCGGCGCTGGGCCGAGCCCGGAGCGCCGGCACCGCCTTAAAGCGGCACAAGCGCCTGTGAGAGCGCGGCGGCTCCGCGCAGCCCGCCCGCTTTAAGGCTGCCCCGGCCCCGCGCCCTCCCCTTCCCCTTCTCCTTCCCCTTCTCCTTGCCCTTCTCCTTACCCTTCTCCTTCCTCCCGGCCTCAGTTTCCCTCCCTTTCGCTCTTGGGGATCCTCTATTTCCCCCTCGCTTGCCGCGGACACTCTCCCTGATCTCCCCTCCTCTGCCCCCACGCCCGCCCCTGCCTGCAGAGATGGTGGGGTTTGGGGGCGCAGATGTTGATGCAGGGGCACAGTAACGCGGTGATTTCTGCATAAAATACACACCTCTTTCTGCCAGTTCACGCGGAGGGCCTCGCTCCGTGTGACACAGCTCTGTCCCCACGGGTGGCAGAGGAACCCTTAAAAGCCAGACCCCAAAAAGCCGGTTCCCGGACCCCAAAGAAGCACCGTCAGCACCACGAATGTTCTGACACGGGACCAAAGACCTGGTCAAAAAGTGCTGTTGAGGGTTAAAAGTGATGGAGAAGGGGCAGTTCTCCAAGTGGCACTGACAGGTTTAGGCAACCGCTGAGCTGGGAAAGATTTTACTCGACAGCAATAATATAGTTCCTCTATATTTAATTTTTCAAGTCCAGAATGTTTTCCAGTGGAATATATTATCCTTGGATCACAGAAAGGGCATGAAAATGCACTCTAGGGATCAGGTGACCTGGGGAAGGTCACAGAGTGAGGGAAGGAGAACTGGCTGGACACGGTGGTGAACCCAGCAGTGAGGCTGGGAGGGCAAACAGGGGGGAAGTTCAAGTCTGTGTTGTGCTTTCACTCCCACTTGGAGGCATTTTGCTCCCTGCAAGGAATGGAATTTCAACACAGCTCGATGTTCCTGATTAAGCAGGGAGGTAATACATATGAATTTATGGCTCCCCAGGGCAGCGGTCACAGCCCCAGGGCTGAAAGAGCTCAAGGAGTGTTTGGACAACACTGCCAGGCACACGGCAGATTGTTGGGGTGTCCTGGGCATGGCCAGGAGGTAGACTGGATGATCCTTGTGGGTCCCTTCTGTTGCCAAATACCTCCAAAATCATCAGGAATAGTGGACAGCAATTCATTACTTTTTCACCTGTTTACACATTTTAAACAAATTAATGTTCATTGGTTCTAAACTATATAATTCCCTTTCATCAATTAGTATTCCATCCACTATTGTTTATTAATCTCTTGTTGCTTATGCTATTTAGTTTGTATTTTTCGTCTTTCTAGCGTCTTTTTCCTATGGTGGGGATTTTCTGACACAAATACTGAGCCTTTGTTAGTCTTCTTCCTTATCTGCTGGTTTCTGCAAAAGGTCCTTGTTTCCAGAAGTGAGTCCAGTTTCAACAACACATCTTTCTCTCATGGGCTTTCTTCATTGAAGCACACCAAGGTTACCTTTTAACAAAACTTACAGTTTTAGTACTTTTCCCAAGCTGTCGTCTCACATAAATTACCTTATGACAACTTTTTTGCTGTATGCTGGCTAAAAGTGATTTAAGGCCTAACACTTAAGCTAAAACAACTAATTAAGGGGTTTCATTAAAGCCAGTAAAAACATTAGAAAGGTTGTATCATTTTCAACACTTCCAGCTCAGGATGGTCTATAATTCCGTGATCTCCACACCGATTTCCACCATCTCCATGGATACGGGAGGACTGACACATTCCCTGCCTGCAGCAGCTCCCGAGGGATGGAAACAACACTCCCACGTGTAAAAACCGAGACGACCAGCGGGATTCAAACCCCGTTCCCCGATATCCGGGCGGACATCACAAGGAATCAGAGGACAACCACCACGTTCCCAGGGAGGACGAGAGGGATTAAATCCGCACTGCTCGTGCAGGGCCAGCACTCGGGCGGAAATTCACCGCATGGGGGGGGGGAGGAGGTGGTGTCCCCTCTATCGCGACGGTCGGTCCCCGTGTCGCGACGCACACCGTGTCGCGGTGTGTGTGTGGGGGGGGGAGTGTCCCCCGCGTCGCGCGGAGGTGACGCCGATGACGTCACCGCCTCCCCTCCCCCGGCCCTGCTGAGTCACGGCCCCTCCCGCGCCCCCTGACGCGGGGCTGGCGGTTGCCACGGCGACCGCGCCTCTCGCGAGAGGCGGCGGGCGGCGCGCGGCGCCCGCGGCGGGCCCTCATTGGCCGGGCGGCTCCCGGCGCGCGCCGCTCTCCCCCCCCTCCCGGCCCCCGGCCCCGCCCCTCCCGCCCGCCCCTCCCTCCCGCGCGCGCGCCGCGCGCGAGCCGCCAAGATGGCGTCGGCCCTGGAGCAGTTCGTCAACAGCGTCCGGCAGCTCTCGGCCCAGGGTGAGGGCGGCGGGGGACGCCGGGGGCGCCGCGAGGCCCGCGGGGCCGCGGGAGGGCGGCGGCGGCCGGGGGAGCCCGCCGGGCCGCGCGCGGGGGGGCGGCGGCGCGGGAGGGGGCGGGCCGGGGCCTGCCCGCCCGCACGGTGCTCCCTCAGGCGACCCCCGGGGCCCGTTCGGGCTCTGCACCCACGCGGGCCGCGGCGGCCGTGCCCGGGTTGATCTGGGGCGGCCGCGGAGGGGTCCCGGGGGTGTGACAGGACGCGAGGGGCCGGCTGTGTCCTCAGGGTTCTCCCAGGGGGTGGTTTTAGCGCCGGCGGTCGTGCCCGAATCTGAGCGTTTGAAACAGGGGGAGGAGCGGGCACCGCGGGGGCTTTAACTGGGATTTTACAGCCCAGCCTGTCACCTCCCTGACTAGCGGGCAGGCTGTGATGCGAGTGGTTTAAAATACGGTTCTGAGGGGTCCAAGCGTCTGTGCTCTACATTTCCAAGCGGAGCATGGACAGAGGTTCCCGACCCACGGCGGAACAGTATGACAGGTCTGAGACCGTAGCCACGTGTTCAGAAAGTGATTAAATAACCACGGATAGAATTCCTTAGTTTCACTGCCAAACTCATAATTTTCCTATATTTGGGCACAGTGTTTCCTGGTTCTTGAACTTTCCCTCTGTGTTGATGTGTCCTGATTGTTCCTCTGCCTGGGATGTTTGATCCCCAGAATTGATCCAAAATTGGTGCTCTCCTCTGTGGTCCCAGGTTTTACCTCTGGCAGTTCTTGGGTGGAGTTCCAGCTTTTTCTGACTTAGGTTTAACTTGTTAAATATAGATTATTTTTACTGAGGATATCACATGTAAGAGATAAATTAAACCTGCAAGGTGCAGGTACGAACCAGGTGGAAGATGGTTCTTTGTACACCTGTAGTTGAGCTGGAGAATTTTCTGTCACGGGGTTTTGGGGATGCCAGAGGCTCAAGTGGAGACTGTTTGGCTTTGTGGAGGTTCTCCCGTTAGGGATGAGCCAGGTAGGAATTCTCTGTGAGAAGGTCCTCAGCACAGGAAGGACATCAGCCTGTTGGAGAGAGTCCAGAGGAGGCCACCAAGATGATCAGAGGGATGGAGCAGCTCTGCTGTGAGGAAAGGCTGAGAGATTTGGGATTGTTCAGCCTGGAGAGGAGAAGGCTCCAGGGTGACCTCATTGTGGCCTTCCAGTGCCTGAAGGGGCCTACAAGAAAGATGGAGAGGGGCTATTTACAAGGGCCTGGAGGGACAGGACAAGGGGGAATGGCTTCATACTGTCAAAAGAGTAGGGTTAGGTGGGATGTTGGGAAGAAATCCTTCCCTGTGAGGGTGGGCAGGCCCTGGCACAGGTTGCCCAGAGAAGCTGTGGCTGCCCCATCCCTGGAAGTGTCCAAGGCCAGGTTGGACGGGGCTTGGAGCAACCTGGGCTGGTGGAAGGTGTCCCTGCCCATGGCAGGGGGGTGGAATGAAACCATCTTCAAGGTCCCTTCCAACCCAAACCCTCCTGTGATGCTGTGAAAGTAAATTCCAGGCCCAGACAGGCAGCTGGAGGACATGAGAGCATTCAGAACGTGTGTACTTACGGTGGCTTCTGGCTGTCAGCATTTGGCTGCCTGAGAGGTGACATAAAGGGACATTTGGTTGGGCCTGGTGTGGGAATTTCTACTTAGACTAAGTTGTTCAGTGTGTGTGTGTGTAGAGGGACAGATCACAGAATCCCAGAGTGGTTTGGGTTGGAAGGGATGTTAAAGTTCATCTCATCCCACCCCATGCCATGGGCAGGGACACCTTCCATTAGACCGGGTCGCTCAGAGCCTGTTCTGAGGGAGTTTTTTGTGTTGTTTTTTAGAGGAATAATGGAACTGTAGAGTGGATGGATTGCTCCACTGGGAAGGACACCAGAGCTAAGGTTTTGCAGTGCCTGAATACCGTTATCAAACCACAGAGAGTTTTACAAGCCCTGTTCCTTCCTGTGCATATGCCTGAAGATTTAATTCTGTATGGAGAGAGCAGTTTTGGGGGTGGGTTTCTGACATTCTTGGGCTCTGGTCCCTCATTGGGAACTTTTGATCCCTCTGTAATTTCATTGCTGGGGCTCCCCTGGTTTTCCTTTTTCAAAGGAAAAAGCCAGAGAACTGAGGATAGTGTAAATCTTTCTGGGTGGAGACACTATTATTCCTCATTTTATGAACACTTTTGTAAGGGTGAGAGAACATTTGTTTTCTCTCATTAATCTGCAAGGACTGACCATTGAAACAATACTCTGCTTCACAAGGGCGTAGTTTTAATTCATTCAATTAACTGGTGGGGAGGAAGAGTTTGAAAGCAGTTCATGAGAATGGATCTGCTTTCTTTGTAATGATTTTTGGGCTTACCATACCTTCCTGATTCAAAATAATTGCCTTCTGTGCAAATAGAAGATGTTGTGGGTTTAATTACACAAAGTAAATGTAAGGATGGGTTTTTACATCCTTTTGTTGTAGGTACTTAGTTGTATCTTTAATGCCTACTTCAAAAAAATGCTTATGAGCAGACCTGAATGGTGGGTAGGGCTTGAGGAGCAGCAAGGAACCAACTCTGGTGGATGTTTTATTAA